ACCATCATACAAAAGAATTCTGATGGAGTATTGCATTCATCCAAGATTCAAGTCCAGCAATTTTGATTCCAGAATACTGCTTTGAAACCTTGCTTTTCTTCTCATGCTCTCAGTAACCACATTGTCTTTCATGAATTTTTACCTGCCTCCTTTTCTCCACTGTTAACATGGATCTGACTGTACTGGCTTCTTCCATAAAGATATTGAACTGTCATCTAGAAAGTACTTGATACTTGATGTGGTAGGCAGGAGTTTCAGTACAGGTTGTGGAGGAATTCACAGAGGCTGAGAGGTTAGAAGTAAAGCAGTTTCATTGAAAATACTTTCCAAGGACAGAAAGGACAGGTGTCAAATCGATGGCATGTCCCAGGACATGAACTAGGATCTAGTGTTCTATGTTTCCTTTGCCTTGCAATTCCTTCTAATTGTCAGTCAGCCTGTTCTGCTTCCCATTCTGTCTCTGATGAGTCCTCTCACAGCCCCTGCACCTCTGTCCTGTACCCCAATCCTGTATGCATAAATAAATAAATCTTTAAAAAAAAAAATGACTGGAGAATTAACAGTTGTTCACCACTATCTGACCCTGGATCAGTGATTACATACTGAGGCAAGAATATAAACTGTTCCTCCCCCATATTCAGATAAACAGGATCATGTCCCCATCATCTGTTTCCCATTGACTTTTTCCAGGTCCCATTGAAACTGAATTCTTTTAATGATTCTGCCAATTTCCTCATTCTTTTTTCATTCATTCATTTGTTCATTCATTCATTCATCAAATGTTAATTCCAGGAACAGTGAGACGTGGCTTCTGCCCTCACAGGACTCAGTGTCATGAGGGAGATGGGCACCTGCATAGGTAACTGCAATGGTATGATAAATGCACTAAAATAGCGCAATGAGCAAATAAGGTGAAGGTTGGCCCAGATTAGATGTTTCAGGGGAGACAGTTGACGGTGGTGCTTCAAGTTTATCACAAAAGAGGGAACATCAGAGTTATAAAAGAAGGTGTCTTGAGAACAGATGGGGGTTTTGAGGTTCTTAGGGACCATGTGGTATTTACAAGTGGCAGTGTGGAGCCGGGTCATAGAAGCAGAGAGCGCCTGCGCTGTGCCGGAAACCAGGTCACTTTTCTCTTTGATGACTTGCGAAGCTTTCACTGGTCGTTGAACTATGGTGTTCTACTCACCTTCCCTAGAGGTGCACATGGAAACCAAAAATCCCTGTTTGTAACCACATAAGCCTGGGTGGACTAAATATTTACCAAAATGGGAATCGTTATATTCCAGTGAAAAGTATGGAGTATGGTTAATGTATTAAGGAACATGATATTGATGTGTTTAGGAGAAAGTAAGTGAAGATACCATTACATGATTAGAAAGGGAGAAAAATGTGTTGCAATAATAAGTAGTTATGATTTCATACGTGTGTGGGTATATGTGTATGTATATGCACACATACACACATGCTTTTATATATATATATATATTCAGATATATTAAGAAGTATCTGTGAAGCCTGGCAAACAGCTATACATGTACCTCTAGGGTAAATGGTAGGGAAAGAGCAGCAAAAGAAAAGATTGGGGGGGGGGAGAGAAAACACAAGAGGACCTCTCAATTTTTATTCTGTATCATCCAAATTTCTCCATAATTGTGGACTTCGTTTTGAAATAGTCCCCATGAAACACTAAGCAGTATCTGCCATGTGGCAGTCATAAATATTAATTATTTTAGGATGGCAAGAAAATGTCACTTACTCAAAATGATTTAAACCTGCACTGAGCATCAAATCAAGGGTTATAAATAAGTGCTTTCTCTTGCTGCTAAAATGGGATGAAGTAAAGACATTATGGTCAATAGGTTTTAGGTTAAACATGCTTTCTGCTTCTATAATAATCATTAGGATTTAATTATTCAAAGCTAAGTTTTGAACAGGAAGTCTTCCAAAGCTAGATAACATCAGCCTTCTCTTAAGTACTTGAAATTTCCCATTCACTACTATGGCTTTATCTTAAGAATATTAAGCATTTAAAATATTTAATATTCAGAGGTCATTGTCTATTGATCAGTGAAAATGAAGGTCAGATCTTTTATGAATTCCCACCCCACCATTTCAGAAAATTGTATCCATCCAATAAATATTCATTAAATTAAACTTAAATTTAATTTTGTTAAACTCCCTCTAACACTCTATAAGTAGGACATCTTTTATTATATTCACTTAGCCATTTTTATTTTTATGAAAAGTTATGGATATATTGAATTGAAAGTCAATTTTTCTGAAATGTAGTATAGACCTCTATTAAAATTCTTCGTGATAATTTTCTCTGTAATTTAAATAACCTCTTATAATTTGAATTAACATTTTTATATTTATCTTATAGATAAACTGGATCTTTCCTATGAGATTTTCTTAAAGTAAGACACTTGTGCAAAGATAACAGAACAATTTGTTATCATGTATATTGAAATTTGAGAACCCATTTTTTTAGGTACTGATTGTGTTAATAAGTATTTTCAACCTGCCTCTACTTTCTTCATTTTTACTGGGTTATCATAAAGCAAAAATAATCGTTGTATGGAGAAATGTGATATAATACCTGAAGTTCCTTGATCTTTTAAGATTGACATATTAACTTTGAATGTTTCCAAATGTATTTCATATGAGAGCGTTCTCTAACCTATGTTCTACTCTGACCTCTGGTGAACCTGATTTAAATGTTGCATATGTTAGAGTAGATGAAGTATAGTATGTGGAAATTTTATGTTAAATGTATAGGGGAGAGTTGAGGTATGACCCAGTGGTCAGCTCCTAGCAACCCCTTGGCAGAAAATCTTAGTAAAATTAAGTAATTTTTTGCACATTTTTTCTGTAAACAATTAGTTCTCTAGTCTGTCAGGTAATTGGGAAATCACCTCAACCCTAATAGCATTGATAATTCCATGGCTTTTAGGTGTTTGTCCTATCTTTTTCAAATAAAAAGGTTTTTTTTTTTTTTAGATATATATGTAGATCACATGCAGTTGTAAAAAATAAAGCAGGGAGATCTTTATGTGTTCTTTTTAGTTTTTTCAAGTGTAGATTGCATTCTGTAAAACTGTAGCATATTATCACAACCAGAATGTTATTCAAGTATAAGTGTGATATAGTTAATTCTGTTATCATAAATACAGGTACCTATATATACTACCACTGTCTAAACAGAATGTACTTCCTTTCCCAAGAAGATATTATGTATTGTCCTTGTTTCTTTTCTTCATCATCGTTCATATTCATGCAGTATTTGATTTCTCCCCTAAGGTGTAGTCCCCATAATTTTCCCACCTCTACAGCATTCAGTTGAGCCACCATCATAGTCCCTTGTGCTCTTCCCTCCCCTGTCTTCACCCCTCTTCCTGCCCCAACCCTGTTTTATGCTTCAGATCTATGATTTGCCAGCAAATTGTGTCTTTTTTTCTAATTCTTTGTTCAGGTTCCCAATATTCTTCCTCTATTGATACCATCTGATATTCCTCTTTTCCCTTCTGACTTATTTTGCTTAGCATAATCCCTTCTAGCACCATCCATGTTGCTGCAAGTGGTACGAATTTATCTTTTCTGATCCCTGAGTTGTAGTCCATTGTGCATGTAAACCACATCTTGATCCAGTCATCTCTTTCAGGGCATTTGGGTTTTTTCCTTATCTTGGCTTTTTTAAATAGTGTAGCAATGAACATAGGAATCCAGTTTCCCTTTGAGTTAGTGTATTTGTGTTCTTTGGGTAGATTCCCAGGAGTGGAATATCTGGGTCATGTGGTTGATCCACTTTTAGGGTTTTAAGAGCCCTCCACAGTTTTCCAAAGTGACTGGACATTTTGCATTCACACCAGCAGTGAAAGAAGGTCCCTTTTCTCCACATCCTTGTCAGCATTTATTGTTACTGGCTTTTTTGTTTGTTTTTTAAAATATTTATTTATGCAAACAGAACTGGGGTACAGGCCAGAGGTGCAGGGTTGGTGAGAGGATTCACCAGAGACAGTGGGGAGCAGGACAGGCCTCATGACAAAGAACACTGCTGAGGGGAGCAGCGGGCAGGTCAGGAGAAGTCTGCCATGCCATGTGGTCACCTCCCGGGGTGGGGATAAAACTCACGAGGAACTGGCTTTAGCTTCTCAATGCTGTGCTTAACCCGCTGTGCCACCAGGGAGGTTACCTGCTTTTTTTTATGTGTGCCATTCTTACTAGTGTGAGGTAGTAACCCATTGTGGTTTTGACTGGCAATTCCCTGGTTATAAATGATGTTGAGAATTTTTGATGTGCCTGTTGGCCATTTGCATTTCTTCTTTTGAGAAATAACTGTTTGTTTAACTTTTCTCCCCACTATTTGACTAGGTTGTCTGCTTTGCTTTTGTTGTGTTAGCTCTTTGTAGCTCTTTGATATCAACCCCCTATCAAATGTGAGGTGTGCAGATATTTTCTCCCACTCAGTAGGGTGTCACCTCACTTGGTTTCTATCTCTTTTGCTGTGCAGAAGCTTTTAGTTTGATGCAGCCCTGTCTCTTTTTCTTCTCCTTCATTTTCTTTGCTTCTGAATATGAGTTCTCAAAGGTGTTTCTGAGGTGGAAGTCATGGAGTGTTTTGCCAGTTTTTCTTCTACATATTTTATGGTTTCATAAGCCATTTGGTTTCTTTATCCATCCTGACTTGATTTTTGTGTACGTGTGTAGCCCATTTATAACCCACCCAACTACTCCCTCATGAACTTTTCACATAATGAGGCTTTGATGGCATTTTTTTTTTTTTAGTTATGTTTTGGAAAGTAACTGATTTGGCTTTTATTATACTCTTGTGAATAACTGCAAAATAATGCTAAACAAACATACATTCTTGAATAGTGTGTCTCCCTGTTGCTTGGCAAGGGAACCAACAGGAAGGATGAAGCGAAGCCTTGGTTATGCTGCATGTCTAGCTCTCTGAAGATACAGAACCAAATCTGCCAATTTTCCTTCTATTCCCAGATTACGCTCGATTTGAGGCCAAAATCCATGACCTACGAGAGCAGATGATGAACCACAGCATGAGTTCCGGGTCCGGGTCCCTGCGAACCAATCAGAAGCGCTCCCTCTATGTCAGGTAGGCAACTGATGTTTCTTACTGTGATCTGCATTTTGTGAATAATCCAGTTTGAGGAGATAAAGGCAATACCATGTATCAGTGGAACATGTGTTCATATTAACCCATTCTCGTCAATACATCCCCATGTGGTCAAAGGTACAGTTCTTAGTACGGGTTGCAGTAAAAATAATGAGAAGAAACATTTTCAGTTCTTATTTATCTTAAGTTGCATATGTAGATGAAAGCCTTGGACAACTGACCATCATCCAAATAGAAAATCTATCTGTATCACCTCCTGGTCTGCTTGTTGTCTATATTCCATTAACTTTGGGGTTCTGTTAATGGACTCTGTTTTGAAACCAGTTATCTTACAAAAGTAAATGCATTGGGTTTCTTCCAACAAGGTTTAGTGAAATGATTTTCTTCTGTGGCATCTCATTACCACAATTTCTGAGGCTACAGAATTATTTATTCTTTGTCTGATAAAACTAATTAATTTCTGGGGTGTGGAGGGATGACTAATTGAAGTTTGAATGCCTTCCAGTCTTTCATCTCTAACTCATCTTGAGTAAGATCCATCAGCACTCAACTATAACATTCACTTCTTCTTAGCACAAGCCACCTACTTCCCTTCAAAATATCCCTTTTCTGTGTTGAGTATATTTTTAAAAGTAATAAAAGTATTAATTGCCAAAGGAGAAAAGTGATGTCTAATTAATGGTTAAAATGAATCCTTACATCAGTGGAGGGCTACAGCCATCCTCGCTGTATTGTTCGCTCACCACTTTGCCTCAATATCTAGTCTAACTGCACCTAAGGTTATATCCTCCTCACCTGAAGTTTTACAGTCTTTTCCTGGCATAGACACAGATTATAAATACTAATTTATGTACTTTAATTGAGTTGTCCTGTTGATTCCACGTAGAAAGTTACCTTTTTTGGGTCTCGGGTAGTTACAGCATGGCCAAGAAGGGAGCTGGACTCTAGGAGTCACAGATACCCAAGGGCCTTGGTTTGCTGATCCTTGGTTTGCTGTCAGAGTCCCTGCTTATACCAATATCTCAGGAGTTCTGTAATTACCAACTTTTTAAAAAATCAAAATACTGATATTCCAAATTTTTCCAGCTGCATTTCAGTAGACCATTTTGATACACTTCAGTGTAACCTGTGAAACTATTCAGAACCACTCTAGAACATGTCATGTAATGATGCCACAGTTACAGAAAGTGACTGTTACTGTTCTCCTTTCTTGTATTACACTGTTGATCTTTGTGATGTAAAACGTTACTGAAGTAACATTTTGGGTTACTGGGGTAGCAAATTGGCAAAAGTCAGTTGGGTTAATTAAGCTAATCATTTAATACAAATTAGATGAAGGTAGATTAAAACTGGAGTGAAAATGACCATATTGTTTGTATCTTGCTAAAAAGAATATGTTAAAATGTTAATGTACTAGAAGTTTGCTAAAAATGTATTGATAATAACTTAGACCTTTTAAATCAGCTGTGGAAGATTAGGGAATTTAAGTGAGGTAATATAACATTATGTGAAACTAATAGACTGATTTGAAAGAATAATGTTAATCGAATCAAATCTTTATTCTCTAAAGTAGTAAATAAAAGTGCAATGTACAAAAGATATGGAGACTAAAGAGAATAAAGAATGTTATCTTAACATTTTAGTAGTTGTAGATTGCATTGAAAGGAAACCTGCTTTTTATATGAGACTTAAAAATAGCTGACACTTCAGAGGAAATTATCCAAAGAATTTCTCTGCAATATTCAAAATGGTATTTGATTCCCATTGTTTAATTATTAATGCTCTTTTTTTGTATATAGAAAGCTGACCTCAGCATCTAATAACTCTTAGAGGCATAGAATTAATTGGAAGAGTTACAAGTCATGCATCAAGTAAATGCAGAGGGAAAGATCTTATATATCCCCTGATCTTGTTCCTTGGTCTCATGAAATGTGATAAAAGACACTCCGTACTCCCTCAAAAAAAAAAAAAAAAAGCAAAAAAATTAAATGAATTAGCAAGGTCTAAGAGAAATCCTTCCTAAAAATGACGTGGTAAATTTGTACCTTTATCATTTTGAGGGGTGTTTTTATACCAGTTTTAGCTATGGGATTTTCATAGAGATGCTCACTTTGTCTAGACTGCTTCAATAGGACCACTACCAGCTGGTTGTACTTATTTTAGAAAATCAACTAGTTGCTCTCTCAAAATAAATTGGTAGCAGGGTTTTTCTGGTTATATAAATATCAGATGAGGAACATGCCTCTTTAATCTGAGAGTGACATGCTGGAGTATTTTCCTCTTCATTCTGCTTAGCTTTATATAACTCCAGGATAGAAGTTACCTTAGCTATCACAGATCTACTGTTTCATTTATAGAAAAGAAAACAGGTCCTGAAGGAAAGGGCTTCACTGGTGGTGTGCAACCATCCCAGGCATGCAGGCTCACAGTGGATTCAAGCAAACAAAACAGAATCTTGGGGCCCTCCCTGGTGGCGCAGCGGGTTAAAGCACAGCACTGAGAATCTAAAGCCGCTTCCGCATGAGTTCAACTCCTGCCTGCCCCGGAGGTGACCACATGGCGTGGCAGACCTCTCCTAACCCTCCCACTGCTCCCCTCAGCAGTGTGCTTCGTTGATCTGCCTGTTCTGCTCCCCACTCTGTCTCTGGTGAAGCCTCTCACTGCCCCTGCACCTCTGGCCTGTACCCCAGTTCTGTATGCACAAATACATAAATCATTTAAAAAAAAAAAAAAGAAAGAAAGAAAGAAACAGAATCTTGGCACACTCTAGGTATATCTGACATGCCTTTGTTACTGACCAGAGGACCAGATACACAGGCTGACCAGTGGGCAGGGAGCAGGCAGGCAGCAACAGTGCCTCCTTGCCCCTGAGATCCCTTGCTTCCTGGTCTGGGGTGTCCATATTTATAGATGCATGTGCCTTATGTTTGTGCTCTTAAGCGCTTTTTTGCAATAACACAGGAGGAAAACAAAGCTGCAGTTGTTGGCTACAGAGTCTGGTGGTGAAAGAGCCTGAGTTACCCCATGTTCCTTCCATTAGGGACTCCAGAGTCTTGGATGGCAGAGTCAGCTCTCCAACCTCCCAGTCCCAGACTTCCCCCAGAACCCCTTTGTAGCCCAGGGGCTCAGCCGATGTGGCTGTCACACCACATATTGACTGCTGACTGTACGTAGCAGTGTTTCCCAGGCTACATCTGTCAGCACGGTACCAGCCTCCTAGACAAAGGAAAAGATTAGAGAGCAAAGAGATTCAAACATAAACCTCTTTGGAGTTTTTACACAGAACAAACTGTATTATAGGGCATGCAGGATTTTTTCAGTATTCATATTTTTCCATAATGCCAAAACCTAAACTAGAAAACAAGCATCCCCTTTATTTATTTATTTAATAAACAATCCAGCTGCCTTCGAATATTTGTACCACAAAATCATCCTTCCCCTTGTAGTTACTTCCTTTTCTTCCCTAGAGACACATAACACACACCATCTGCCACACTCTCCCACTCTTCTACCTTCACACACACACACTGCAGAATCTGAGAGGGTGCCCCTTCTTGGAATTGTAGAATCTGGCCTCATTTTCCAAACGGAAAGGATCTGCCCAGGTGATACCAATTTGTTTGCCTGCAAAATACTGAAGGGCAGGAAGGCAAGGGAGCAAGCATGCTGAGCCAGTGTTTTAAATTTAAGTCACCCCGCCATATTTTCCAATCTAGTTGTATTTTTTCCATGCTTTTAGCCATTGTGTAAGGTGCATTAAGTGCTCTGGTAGAGCTGTACAAGCAGAGCTGTCCCTGGTGATAATACTGTACCTTTTCTTTATAAATGACTTGGACATATTTGGTTTAATGGGACTTTTTGGATGGTGTTTTTCTTGCATTGTGAAGCATTTATTATAGTTGTAAAAATGAAAAATTAAATAAAAAAATTGAGTAAGATTTTTCCAATGCTCTCCATATGTTACATTAGGAATTTTTTAGGCACAGATATACTTAAGCTCCTGGAATATAGATTTTATTGCATGTACTTGATGACTCTTTATATGGGAAGACCAAGGCCTTCTTTCCTCTGAAATATATTCTTACCTTCTTAGTGGTAAAACACCCCTGTAACACAGAGCAAGGGTTTTCCAGCTACTGATATAGCCAACTGTTACTAAGAAAGGGTCAGAGATATAGGGGCTTTACATCACCCAAAGTATAGATACCTAAAACGATTCTTACTTTTGATATCAATAGCAACAGAGCCCAGGAAACTAGTAGAAAGAAAAAACTGGTAAGTCTACCAGTGAAGAGTAAGAGGTCACAGGAAAGAATGTAAATAAGAAAATTGGTCTATGTTAATTTGTTAATAAAAGATTGTGATTTTGAGTGTTCAAATAAATAACCTCTCTGTTGTTAATTTGGGTTTAAAAATCAATTGCTGTGACTTATTTATATATATTCACCAAGCATTTTCGTGAATGTAAATTCTATGCCAGGACTTGTAATTTGGTTGTTCATATGCAGAGAAATCTCATCCAGACTTTTCACTCTAATGCCATCTTGCTGGATGGACTCTCTACATATTTATTTTAAACTGGTAACTCAAACTTTCTGCTTCCTAAAACAGTTTCTGCTTCCAAGGTTATCACTAATACACCTAGTTCTGTCCCAGCCCTATTGTTTAACATAAGACTTGCTTACATTGATTCATTAGCACTTTTATTCTTTTCTCAGAAAACATGTATTTCATACATATTCCTACAAAGTAGCAGTCTGTATAGACTTTAAAGATACAGAGATGAATAATCAGCTCTCCTTCCCACATAATCTCAGAATCCATGTCTGCAGGTGATTTGGATTGTGCACGTCATTGCTGTAACTATCATTTCCTCATAACTCTTGTGCCATGTGCCTTGGAATCATTATTCTGTTTTAATCTTTACTACATGCCTATATGACTTCCTACAGTGAAATATGCCTAGAACCCTTATCTAT